CTAACCTCACACACACACACACACACACACACACACACACACACACACACACCAATCTACAAGGTGACCTGAGAGTCCTTCATTTAACCTGTGGACACACTCCCTCCCTATAGTATGTGTATGTGTGTAGGGGGTGTGGTGGAACTAGGGTAGATGGGGGCGGGGAAGAGTTAATTCCTATGGTGGTGATAGAGAGCCCATACTGACACCAAAGTCCTTCCCAACAGTCTAGGGCTACAGGTAGTGGGAGTAAAACAGAGAGCAGAGATGGGCATTCAACCACAATCCTGCACCATTATGATTGGACAAGTCTCTTCCCTCCCCCTCCCCGCGCCCAGCAAACCCTGTATGGCCTCTTACACAGGAAGAGAAGTCTTGGGCTGCTTAACTTCCCCTAACTCACCCCTCCACCCACTTAATTCTCCTCTCCCAAAGCCAAGCTCTTTTTTTTCTCCTGATCCCACTACAGTATCAGAGAGAAATGTGAAGGGGTCCAGCTAGGGAGAGCATGGAGGGACCAGGCCTCAATCCTGCCCAGGAACTGGGCATTATTGCTATAGCAACTCTCTGAGCACACCTTCTGGTCTCGTGAAAGTGCCCAGGGGCCATCTGCCCACTCAGGGAAGTGAGGAGGTGGGAAAACAGTATTTCCTGCTTTACAAGGAGGGTCCATCTTAGCAGCCTGGTTTCCAGGACTCCCCAGAAGAGGGGATGGGAGCAGGGCATCATGGTTGAGGGCAATAACCTGCTCAAAGTGGCACAATTTGCAAAGCGATGAATTCTGGAGTTGAGACCATCCAGATGGGCTGACAAGCTCAAAAGCGGTGCCTTACAGTATTTTTTCTCACTCGGGCTGGGATGAGGAGGAGACATTCACAAATTCCTCCGTGAGGCTGGAGACAGGGGCTTGAGGAGTGGCAGGGGCTGCTTTCTCGGGCCTTTTCTCTTAGCTTCTGACACAGTACATTGGCTCCATGTGGATGTAGACCCCTCCGACTCTCCCTGGGAATATCTGTGCATCTCTAGATTATTTGAGAGCCTATTATCGTACTCTGAGAAGAATGCGGATCTTCCCCAGAGCAAACTGCCTCTGACTGTGGGCTAGTACAGGGAGCTCACTACAAAGAAGATCAAGGATCTAAACAGGATCAAGGATCTGCAACAGGATGCCAGGGACAGAAAGGAATAGTGGGTAGAGGTTAACACATGGGCTGGCACTTAACCATCCTGATCCAAAGACCCTGGGGGCCTGGCACATCCGGGGGGAGAAAGGACTGCGGGTGAGACCAAAGGTGAGCCATGCCCTGAGTTCTGGAGCCCGTGGGGTGCTGCTGGGACCCACCGACTGGAGCATAACACAGAGATGCCCCTCTCACCTCCAGGCAGGCTGCCCGTTGGCCCTCCTGCCATGGAGACCTTGGGCATCAGCAGGTGTCTGCCTCTGCATCATATTCGGAACCGGCGAGCTTGCCCAAGGGCATGTGGGTCAGGCAGCAGTGTGTCCAGGAGCTGAGGCCATCCATTCACTTGAAACTCCTCTTTGGTTACTTCTTCCTTGGGGTTGGCTTGCTCCTCCTTCTCAATCTGGTTTACAAAGAGAGACATAAAAATCCATGACCCTGGTAAGTGCTCAGTTCATGTGACTCTGAATTTGTAGACTACCTTTGAGGTGATTTGTCTTCTGGGAAATCGTTGGAGTCCCTCTGTTTAATTTCTCAATTCTGGTAGTACCTGGCTAAAATAATATTTTTTCCTAGAAAGGGTACTTTTTAAAGGTCCTTCTATTTTTATGTGCAACAACTATTGCTTTTCTATTTAATCACTGCAGATAAATTTTAAACACAGAAAAACGCAAAGGAAATCAAAATACCACCCCACTCCTATGGGGGGGGAGGGGAGAAACCAGTCACACTGCCCAGGAATGTAAAGACATGAGTGTACACAAATATACACATAGGGCATATGCACTCACATGATAAAATTGTGACTATACTGACATGTTCCCATTTTAATGGGGACCAGACTGTGTTCAAGAAAATAAACAACACCCAGGAAAGATATGAAAATGAGGCCCCAGACAAGCATTGTTTGCAAGCTTATTCTCCATAGCATATTAACTGCAATTCATTTAGACAGCAGAATTTTTTGTGACTACCTATGAAATGAGACAGTCAGTTTCAGATCATCATCAACGTTTTTCATTTAAAATAGAAAAAAAATAGCAAAGATGCATATATCAGAAGTGTGCCATACTTTTACACTATGGACTGAACTTATGAGAATCACAGCTTTTCCTATAATGTTATTTTAGACCTAAAATTCACATTAACAATAGCATTTTCCAAAACCCCAAATTATATATCAAGCTAACAACGCTGGTGCTCTTCAGACAGGATTAAGGATAAACGAAGAAACAATTGTTGAAATTTTCAGAGTGAGGCTTAGTAGCCTGGGAGGTTGGAACACATCCCTTGAAATGTGGGGAGGGAATCTTTATATTTTCCCGATTGCCTCTATGACCTCCGACAGGAAACAGCCTTTTCATATTAGAGCTCCACACAGATCCCGCCGAATATAAAACCCTGGATGAGCACAGTAGCATAGCAGCCCACAGGTCCCAGGCATCACCGTGCAGGTACCACTGCAATCAGCCACTGTGGCATCTTAGAAAATATAAGCACCTAGTTACGTGATTGGCACTTTACTGGCAATGGCAGCCACATCAATGGCACAGGGGATGGCCAAATTGTGCAGCAACAGCCCCTGAATTCGATTTCAACAAGTGAGAGCAACTGAGTTGAGGAGAATGGGTTAATAGTTAGGTTCAAATGGCACGATGTATCCATTAAGTAACAGTTCTAATACCATCCACCTACCTAGTCTATAAGATCCTACACTAAGTACTTTACAATGATAAATAGTGAGGTAGATAACATCCTCATTTTACAGATGGGAAAAAATGTGGTTTTGAGAGAGTAAGTAACTTGGACCGGCAGCAGAGCTCAGATGCAAACCTGGTGCCAGTGTCCTTGCCCTCCCCACTGCGCCAGACTAAGTGTATTTATAGGTCTTGTTCAGCCAATAACATCAGCTAAGCCCCGAGTCAGGCCCTGGAGACATGAGTGAAAGTCCCTGCTCCTGACTCATGTACATTCCAGCAAGGGAGATAGACTATATGGTGTCCGATATGTAGAAGTGGAGATACACCAACTGAGCCTAGGGAGGGGGTGGGCATCTGCTAAGCAAGAAATATGAAAGCTGTGCCGATGCTCCTAACCACTGCCAATCATGATGATTCTGCGGACACAGGAGAGAGGTTCTCTACTTACATGAAATAGTTTACGTATCATCCATATTGACCAACTCAAAATAGGCCCCAAATTCTAGTAGTGATTAGAACTTCTTTGTGTTTTAAATCCAAAACACATTCATGCCTATTCACTGGTTTAATGATAGAGCATGTCAATCAATGAACCATGAGGAAAGATTAACCATATCTTGAAAGGAGAATATGAAGAAAGTACAGGTATAAACCTACAACCCAACCCAAGTACCTTATCTGGTTGGGCTCAAGCCTTTGGACTCTAATCCCTTTTAGTGATCCAGAAAGCCAAATTGTCAAGGACCTAATCTTGTTAAAATAATTCTCTAAGAAACAAATATTCTAAGATAAATAGCTTAGGTTTGCATATGGTTAAGCATACAGATTAAAAATTAAAAAATAAAATTGTCTCTATTCATAGACAACAATATTGTCAATGTAGAAAATCCCAGTCTATCCCCCAGAAAAGGGTAGAATAAGTGAGTTTAGCAAGATCACAGGATACATGATCAATATACAAAAATCAATTGTTTTTATATACTACTAAAGAACAATTTCAATAGCACTTTTATAAACTATTTAGGTATAAAACAAAGTATGTGCAAGATCTGTAAAAAAAGCCTAAATAAATAGAGGGATATACCATGTTAATAGATTCAACAGTGTTACTACTTCTTCCCAAATCGATTTATAAACTCAACACAATCTCATTCTAAATTCTACCAAGATATATTGTAGAAACGGACACTAAAATATATATGGAAAAATAGAGAAACTTGAATTGCCAAAAACAATTTCAAAAATGAAGAACAATGTTAGGTAATTCACACTAATTGATTTTAATACTTCCTTTAAGGCTACAGTAATTAAGTGTGGTGATGTTGAAAGGAAAGATATATAAGTTAACAGAACAAAATACAAAGTCCAGAAATAAATTCACATGTTATGGCCAACAAATTTTCAACAAAATTGCAAAAGTAATTCAATGGAGAATCTTTTCAATAAATGGTGCTGAAACAATTGAAAATGAATATGAAAAAAAATTTGAACCTTAATTCATGCCTCACACCATAAAATTAACTCAAAATGGATAATAATATAAATGTAAAACCTACATTTTTAAATTTCTAGAAAAAAATCTTTGTGACCTTACATTAGGCAAAGAATTCTTACATATAATACAAAAAGCATAACTCATAAAAAATGATAATTTGGACTTTGTAAAATTTGAAACTGGTTCAACACAAAACACTGTTAGGAAAATGAGAAAGCAAGCCACAGGCTGGGAAACGATATTTGCAAAACATGTATTTGTATCTAGATAAATTTTATAATCTCTCAAAATACAATAATAAGAAAATAAAAACCCACTTTTTTAAATGGGCAAAAGATTGAACACACACTTCACCAATAAACGGTGGATGATATACAAGCTCATTAAAGGATTCTCAACATCATGAGTCATTAGGAAAATGCAAAATTACACACCTATTAGAATGGATAAACTTTTAAACACCATCATACCAAGTGCTGACAAGAATGCAGAGCACTGCACGTTGCTGGTCAGAGTACAAAATGATACAGCCACTTTGGAAAACAATTTAGCATTTTCTTATACATTTAAATATACAACTGCCATATGTCCCAGTCATACCAGTCCTAGTTACTTACTCAAGAGGAAAGAAAACTTATGCTCACATGAATGTTTATAGCAGCTTTATTTATAATCACCCAAAACTGGAAAAACCCTAAATCTCCTTCAACTGGCGAATGGAAAAGTATGATAGGTACATCCATACAAAGTACTACTATTCAGCAATGCAAATGAAAGAACCATTTATTCATGCAACAATGTGGTTCAATCTCAAATGCATTATGCTAAGTGAAAGAAGCCAGACTCAAAAGGCTCCATGCTGTATGATTCCTTTTATACAACATTCTGGTTGAGACAAACTATAGACAGAAAAAAGATGAGTGGTTTTCAGAAGCTTGGGGCTAATTGCAAAGAAGTATGAGAATTTTATGGGTGATGAAGATATTCTGTATCTTGATTGTGGTGGTAGTTGTGTGCATAGAGCTATTTTCAGAAAAGGTTGTGTATCTTAATAAACCTGACATGTGGGATGTGTGTGTGTGTGTAGGGGTGTGTATTACACATACATGCACATGCAAGACCCTGGAGGAGACAGGAGGAAGGAAGATCACAGGTGTGGCTGACCTGATCAGAAAAGCATGCTTTGTCCTCTGAGGCTGAGGGGAAGCATTTAAAAGCAGGTGTAAATCCTGATAAACGTGTGAGGGCTGGTGGGGCAGCTGGCCTGGAGAGGGACTCAGACTCACCCATTTGTGTCACTATAAGGCTTTTCCTAGCCATGCTCAGCAGCCACGGGCTCAGCAGTTGGGAAACTGCAGCAGTGCAGGTGAGTCATTAGTTTGATGTAAGATCAGGGATTTGTGAGATGAAGGTAACAAGATACAGGACAATAGGATTAAGGCTTTTGGAGAGAGGCTGGTTAACCATGTGGTCTAGGTTAAGGACATGTGACCAGGGAGGAGCTGTCAGACTGGGGGGACGCACAGCTGCCTAACCCAGGCCTCTCCATAGGAACTACCTATGATGTGTAAAGATGCTCTAGGGACCATCATGATGTGCAAAGGCCTGCTCCTGAATGGGAAGGAATTTATGATTTATGGAGAGCAGCATTCAGGAGTTCAGTCACCCAAACTCACAAAAGCAATAACGCAACCTGAGAGGCAGGCAGGGCAAGAGCCTGATCTGACAACAGAAGCTCAGGTTTCTTTCCTAACTCTGCTGTTCCCTGGGAAATGACTGGTGAACTTCTGATTTTGTTTAGCTGATAAGACCCAAGATAGATTACCAAGGCATAAACACTAGGTGTAATTAAGCATACTATATGCTCGGATGCAATTTTTCCACAAACATGTAAGAGAGAAGTTCTGTCTAAGACATGACTACAAAGCCAACTTTATTGTCTGGGGAAATGGAGGGAGGGCTCAGAAAAGGGACTGGGAGGGCCAGTTTATCCAATCCTGCACGAAAGGAAGAATGCTCCATGGTTTTCTAGAAGGAGAAAATTCAGAGTGAACATCTTGGCATCAGGAAGGACAAAGGAAGACAAGTCGTGTCATAGGAAATGTCTGGGATGTTTGGGTCCACATGACTGAAGAGCAGGCAAGCTACCTCCCGCTAACAGCCTGGACCTTAGCAGCTGGCCCCAACACCTGGTTCTAACAATGCACACTATCCAACCCCTTATAGTAATTGCTCAGGGAAGTAAGACCTAGCTTGTCAAGTATATGTGTTTATATTGCACTGAAATTCATGCACTGCGGTGGGGTGGGGAGGTCCCTCAGCCCGGCCTGCGCCCTCTCCCAGTCCGGGAGCCCTTGGGGGATGTCCAACTGCCAGCTTAGCACTGCTGCAGAGGCAGGAGAGACTCCCGCCAACGCCTCTGCACTCGCCAGCCTGGCTTCTGGCTGAGCCTATGGGAGTGTACTGACCACCAGGGGGCAGCTCCTGCATTGAGCCTCTGCCCCCGGGTGGTCAGTGCGCATCATAGTGACCGGTCATGACCATCTGAGCATCTGGACCAGGGACATGCATTATTTCCCTTGATTGCCAGAGCCTGGTTCAGTGCTGTACACAATGTCATGGCAAATCAGCTTGAAAATACATACAGAAATAAACGGGTCCTCCAGGCTTCCTGTGTGCAAGGTGCAATTTGGTACAAGATATGCTGTGAACAGATGAGTCACAGGCACACACAGCACTGCCCGGTGACTGGCCCCAGATCAGTCACTCACAGCCACAATGGTTTTCAGAAAACCACAGATCCCGCTCTCAGAAGTGGAGCCCTGAAGAGCTGCTCAGCCCAGGAAACTCTTTAATGCTTACACTTTTAGAACCATAATGTGTCACGTTCCACATCACAGTAATGTAGATCATTGATTTATGGGAGATATAGGTCAGTTTCTCAGGTGAGAATCTGTGACATGCTCCCCAGTTGACTCTTCTGCATATTAACTCTGTAAATACCATGTGACATGCACACAGGGTACTATGCTATGAGGTGCTGGGCTTCAGAGTAGACATGAGACTCTCCAATACAATGAACACCCACTATCAACTTATAAAATAGGCTCATTTCCAAATATTAAAAGGACTAAAAGTTGGGCTGCCATGTGTGTGGGCAGGGAGTATATGGGAAATCTCTGTAGCTTCTGCCCAATTTTGCTGTGAACCTAAAATTGGTTTAAAAAATAAAGATTTTTTTAAAAAGCTGACCTGCCTAAGATGATGCAGATGTGTCTTTTCTCTCTACATGGATCCCGCCTTTTACCCTCTATTCATCCCAACCTGACCACCTCTGTGCAACCTCGGTGAAGCAGGGCCCTGCTCCAGACTCCTATAGCCCAATGTACACTGACTGTGACAATATTAGGACATTTCTACCACCCTACACTGTGACCAGCTATTCTCTTGTTTGGTCCTAGTGAATCACACACACACACACACACACACACACACACACACATAACTGGCTGTTCATTGCCATGCCTCTTCCTACAGCGTGGTGCCCGGCACTCTGTAGGTATGGAACCAAATTTGTTAGATGGCTGACTGACTGAGTGAATGAATGATTGAGATTATCCCTAGCTGTTTTGGCTGAGTGGATAGAGTATCAGCCTGCGGACTGAAGGGTACCGGGTTCTATTCCAGTGAAGGGCACATGCTTGGGATGCAGGCTTGATCCCCAGTAGGGGGCGTGCAGGAGGTAGCCAATCAGTAATCCTCTCTCATCACTGATGTTTCTCTCTCTCTCCCTTCCTCTCTAAATTAAATTATATCTATATATAAATGAATGAGATTAACATTAGATGAAGTGTGTTGGGAGGAAGGACAAAATGGCTGAACCTCTGCTTTACACAAACCCAGATATTCCTTAGAGTGACCATTTCTCCTTCTCCGAGGCACAGGAATCCAGACTCTCATCTACTCAATCTGTTACTGTGGTCAGTACTCTGAACCGATAAATTGATCACTTCCAGTTCCAGTAGACCAAGGAAACCATGGAAACTGCCATCTGAAGTATTGTGTTGATGGCATGTATAAGGAAAGCAGAAGCCACACTAGGTCTTTCAAACAGAGGGGATTTCATGCAGGGAACTGATGACAGAGGTTTGGAAAGGCTGAAGGAGGGCCCTTGAGATACCCAGGTATTAGTAAACACAGGAAGCAGCTACTAACCTTAGGGCTGGGGAAACACAAGGGAAGAGATGGTGTTACCAGAACCTAGAAGCTTTGATGGGGGACCCCCCACGGCTGGTGCCTGGCCCTCTGATGGGGCTGCTGCGTGGCGGCTGCTTGGACTTCTGAGGGGGACGCTGCTTGGCTGGTGGTGGTCGGACCTCTGGACGGGGTCGTGGCTGACGCTCAGTCCTTGGAGGGGACCGTGGCTCAGACCTCGGAGGGGACCGTGGCTTGGCTGGTGCTCTGACCACCGCGGGGGGTGCAGCTGGCTGAATCTTGGGCCTCTGGGGGGACGTTGCACGGCGCCTGGTTCTGAGAGGGCCAAAAGAAGCTGGAGGCTGGAGCCATGGCTCTCCTCTGCTGCTTAAGGGATGCTGACAGGAGCTGGAAACAGGGAGGCAGGCCCTGCTCCCCCTCCCACCTTCCAGTCTCCCTCTAGCACCTTCCGATGGCAGAACCTAACCCGGATCCGACGGTCAGGGGACTGGGGGAAGAGCCGCCTGCAGAGTCCCAGCCCCAGCATCACAGAGTAGAGTAGAAAGGTAGGGGTACGGAGGTGGGGGGGTGGCTTGGAGCTGAGACACCACAGGCCAATGCCCAGCCCAGGTGCCGGCCCCTTACCTGGTCCTCTGGCAGGCACAGCAGATCCAGTCCTCTTCTTTCTTCTGGTAGAAGCAGCCACTTTTGCAGATGCTGTACTTCCGGTCCACAATCTCACGTTTGGAGTTGAGGAAGGTGAATGGCGGGCAGCAACGTATGCTGAACTGCTCAGAAAACTTCTGGTTCTTGGAGAGTCTGGGACCCTCCTTACCCGTTTTCTGACTCATCTCACTGGAAATCATCCATACGGGGGAGGGGGGGGGGACACAGGAACAGCAGGTCAGGTGAGAGAGTGTTCTACTCAGGGAACGCACCCCTGCTATTCCCAGAGCTGTCTGATGCAACAAAAACCCGAAATAGCAAGTTCCTACCCAAGTATGGAGAACAACTAAATTAAGGGTTGATTAATTTTTGTGTATTTTTTGTTTTCTGGAAATGGACTCTTTTTCCCATATGTTTAACGATCCATTTAACATAGAAAAAGATATTACAAAGCCAAACATTACTGAGCACCTAGTGTATGGTGGTTGCTTTACATACGTCGCCTCGTTGTTATACATATGGCGTTGCCAACAAACTGAAAATGAGAGAAGCTAAGAAACATGACCAAGTTCATAAAGCCTGTAGGAGGCAGACAGAGGATTTGAAACCATGCCTCTCTGACCCCCAAATCCTGTGCCCTTTGACCAGGCCCAGCGCTATCGGTGCTCCCTGTGCTCAGCCCTTCTCTCCCAGCAGCAGGGGGCCAGGCGCTGGGCCCAGACTGGACTTTGGGGGACTGAGATGGGCCCAGAGAAGGGATAGTCTGCATAGATGTGCATGGGTGCTGGGCTGAAAAAGACTGAAAGTTGGGGAAAGAGCTCAATGACGAAGGAAAGGTACAGAACGGCATTTGGAGACCTCGACCTCGCACAGTATGCATCCGCAGCAAGGACTTCCCCAGCAAGCAAGAAAGCTCACAGTGGGGAACTAGAATGTAAACTCAGAGAGGGTCCTGAGGGTAGAATGACAGACAGGTGCTTCCCTCTGTTCCTCCACCACCTGGCCTTAGCCGGTTTTAAAATCTACACTCACTGCTGAAAATAAAATATTTTGGATGAATGGAAATAATAAAAATTCTGCCCAGCTGGCGTGGCTCAGTGGTTGAATGTCAACCTGTGAACCAGGAGGTCACGGTTCGATTCCCAGTCAGAGCACTTATAGTTACAGCCCCCTTTATAGTTTATATATTTTCATCTTCTCTCGTTTTTCTTGATTAATCTTGCCAGAAGTCATCTCCTTCATATTCTTTTCAGAAGCAAACTCCTGGTTTCCTAGCTTATCTTTGCTCATTTTTTTTTTCTAGTTCATGAATTTCTGTATGCATTTATTATTTCTTTTCAGTTTTCTTTTCTTTTATGCTCTTGTTCTATTTCTCTATTCTAAAGGGAACCTGAAAGTCCTGGTGGCAAGGAGGAAGGGGTGGCTGGTCTAGGTCATGTCCTCTTCTGCTAGACTCTGCCACAGGGTACCTGTGTGGTCTCACCTGGCCCCTGGCATGAATGACACATTTGATTCAAATGCTTCTCACATAGGCATTTATGACTGTAACTTTTCCATTAAATACAACTTTAGTTACATACCACAAGTATTAACATAAATCATTTTCACTTCATTTTAAATATGGATGAGTTCTTTGATTCATCAATTCTCTTTCAAAATCTGTTATAAAATTTCCAAGTGTATGGAATTAATTTTGTTATATTGACTTCTAATTCTAATGCATTCTAGTCAGAGAGGAGTGTATATGATCATGACTCTTTGATATTTGTTGAGATTTTCTTCATAATGTCCTAGTATATATTCAGCGTTGTTCCACGTTCCACATGTGCTTGAAAAAAAATGTGCATTTTTGGAAACAATTTGGGATTATCTAGAAAAGATAAAAGTATGCACCAACTATAGTGTAGCCATCTATTCTTGGGCACAGCAGCCACCTTGGATGGTGGCTCAACCGTGAAGATGAAGCCTCAGGGTGGAGCACAAAGCCTGGAGGAGCCCGAATTCGTGGTGACAGTGGAGCTGCTGTTCCCACCTGGACTCTAAACCTGGACTCTTGAACACTGTACACCTTTACATGAGACAATTCCTTCTCAAAGTGGACAAGAGTAAAGGGAACCTGAAAGTCCTCGTGGCAAGGAGGAAGGGGTGGCTGGTCTAGGTCATGTCCTCTTCTGCTAGACTCTGCCACAGGGTACCTGTGTGGTCTCACCTGGCCCCTGGCATGAATGACACATTACCACTTGCCACTTGACCCCACCAAAGCCACTGGTCCCTACTCAGCAGCTTCCTATTGTGATCCAGCTGTCCTCTTAGCCCCTACACATCCGCTCCAGGTAACTTCCGGGTCCCACGCATGCTATGCACTACATATGGGGAATCAAGAGCCCTTTCTTGGGGCCATTGGCCTAGACAGCTCCTCCCAGCCCCCTCAAAAAGCTGTGTACTCACTCAGGGGATGAGGGCAGGCATCCTCCAAGGGCCTGCAATCTGTCCCACTATTCCTGTTGAAGTGTGTCAGCAGGACCCACCACACACACTTCCAAATCTGTCTGGACATTTCTACACCATACCACACCCCTCCCTGATCTTGAGGTTTCATCTGAAGAAAAGCGCGAACATGGCCGTCTGCCTCCTTCAGTTTCTCTCTGCCCCATGAACGTGCGCCACAGTAGACAGAATTCTTCCACAAACTCACCGGTGGGAAAGGCTTGAGCGAAGTTGGCCATGCTCCTTCCCAGGCCTTTCCTTCCCTTTCCCCACCCCCTCCCTATACGTGGCTATCACTTCTCACTGAAACCACACCGCAACCCTCTCTGCCTTCAAGTGATTGGGAATAATTGTAAGGAAAAGATGGAAGTAACCAGAAATTGGCATTTTCATAGAACAAGATGAAATGTCTAGCATTAAAAGCACTATTACTTCAAAACATGAAGAATTAACTTCAAGTGCTTAAAATATTTATAAATTTTTAATGAATTTCTATTAGATCTTGCCTCTATTTCACAATGTAATATTTATTCTCTGAAAATCAAAGCCCTTGAGAGCAATAAAAGCAGTTAACCTTTCATTTTCTGAGAGGAGTCAGAAATATAGTTACAGTAATAATGCAAGAATATGGGTGAAAATAGTAAATGGAATTTTACTGACTGGCAAGCATAAGGAGGCAGCTGGGATACGTGATTTAAAAAAAAACAAACAGACTTAATTTTGCATATTAAGAATCAGGGGATGGTCTTTCAAGACATTGCCAGAACAGAAAGAGTGAAGCATCCATAACTCTATGTATTTCTTAAAACCAGACTAGCTTATTAAAGGCGAGAATATGGGCAAGGGAATCCTAGCATTTTTATAAAAACACAATGTAAGCAGTAAGGCTTTGACTTTATTTAATTATTAATATTCTTATACTTGATTAATTATGGAAATATTAGATAGCTATTTGAAGAACAATTAAATATTAGGCAGCCATTTTTAAAGATGCTTATGAACAGATTATGCTGACATAAGAAAATATTTCTGTAATATCAAGTGAAGGCAGCAGGAAGCTAGACTATTTCTTTTTTAATATTTTTTTTATCGATTTCAGAGAGGAAGGGAGAGGGAGAGAGAGTTGGAAACATCAATGATGAGAGAGAATCATTGATTGGTTGCCTCCTGCACACCACCTACTGAGTATTGAGCTTGCAACCCGGGCATGTGCCGTTGACCAGAATCAAACCTGGGACCCTTCAGTCCGCAAGCCAATGCTCTATCCACTGAGCTAATCCAGCTAGGGCTAGACTATTCCTTGTATGTCATCAACTCCAGGGTCCAGCTGCAGCCAGTTGAGAGTCAGAGGCTCACCACATCAAGAGGGCTCCCAGCTTCCTCAGACACCTCCAGACGGTCTAGGACAGAAGCCAGGGTGGCCTCGGCAGGAGAGAGACACACACTGAGACCCTGCCTTCAATAGATGAGACACTGATGCTCTGGAGACTTCGAGCAATCTTAGGCCTAATTTTCAGGCTGGCAAAGACTCTCTGAATTGTTGGTGGGAGCTATTAAGACAGTTGTGACCACAGTGGACCCACTGACAGTGGAGGCCAGGTGACATATGCAAAAAATATACACAGAAAAAGACGGAAGGTAGATGCAATAGTAACACTCAGCCATTCATTCAAATACTATTGAGTGCCTACTAAGTGCCAATTGTGAATAAGACAAAGTAGGTGCCTATACTCATGGAGCTTGGGGAACAGTAAAGGGGACTCTAACAGATCATATTATGAACAAGGTAGTCAATGTCTAATTGAAGTGTGATTAAACTCCTGGGTGCTAGGAGTGAGGGGCTAGGGGAGGATTCCTGAAAAAGAAACATTTAACTTGAGACCTAAAGGATGCGTGGGAACCACCCGGGTGTAGGGGTTGAGAGAGTTGCAGACAGAAGGCCCTGAAACTTGACGTGCTGAGGAAACCACAGAAGGGGGCGCGGCTGAATATCATGTGGGCCAGACAGCCCAGGGCCTTGATGGTGAGCTAGTGAATAGGAAGAATGGGAAGGCACGGAAAGGTCTTGACCAGAGGAGGTAAATCTTCCTGTTCATGTTCCGGGAAGATCACTCGGGCTTCTGGCAATGGAGATCAGGAGGCAGAAGTGGAAGCGAGAAGACCAGTGAAGGAGGATAGGAAATTCACCTAGGGCAGTGGCAGTGAAGGTGGATCTTGGAAGTAAGACTTAAGGATGGATTGGGTGTAGAGTCCATTGGAAAGGGCAGGGCAAGGAAGACTGCCAGGCTTTCAGCCTGAGCAAACGCCTAATAGAGCAGTTTACTGAGATGGAGGAGATGGGGGAGGGGAGGGAGGGTATAGTGGGACCTTCATTTATTCAACAAATATTAATTGAGCATCCACTTTGTGTAGAATATATTAAAGCTGAGATGCTTATGAGGATCTAGTGCTGATGACTGGTCTGTAGTAGAAGCATTGGCCTAGGCCTCAAAGTTGCTAAGGACCAGAGTATAACATGAGCAAGGAGCTAGGCAGGAAGACCAACAATGGACAGGGCTTGCAGATGGATTAATGGCAGGCAGGAAAGAAGAACAAACAGGATTTCTCCAAGGAGGCATTTTATAATGGAAATAGATGAACTACTCAAAAGAGAGACAAAAATGAGAATAGATCAAAGACCCCAATTAGAATAATAACAGCAAATACATGTCAGGAGATACAAGCCTGACAAATTTCAAAGACTTCACATATTCAATTCATTTAATCCTCACAACCTCACAATAGCCCCGTTTTTGCACATGAGAAAGCTGAGGACATAGAGCTAGTAAGCGGGGGCCCCGAGATCTCAACCAAGGCAGACTGGTCACAATTTCTAATCTTGACACTATGCGGTTTCTAACAGTAGACATGAAGAGGAGGGAAGCAAATCAAAGATGATTTAATAGAACAAAAGATACTACAAAGCTGCATGTTAAAAGAGCTGTACCAGTAGAGAAGAAAATATATGAACACATAAAAATATAAGGTGCTAATAACCAGAATGTTTACAGAAAAAAAACTGTATTTTTTTTAAAAAAACAGGCAAATAATAAAAAAAGATAAATCTATAAAAGCCAGTTATCATATACCAATAGGCTTAAGTCTGTAAGATTAAAAGAAAGAGAAATAAAAGCAAAGAAATGTCAATTCATGCCCACTCCGACGGGCCCAAAAAAGAGGGGATGACGTTAGCAAAGAACAGGGAAAAGGCTGCCAATCAGTGTGTCCGTTGGGGTGCGGGGAGGGGGAGAGGGGTGGGGGGGGGGG